CCCCAAAACCCCAAAACCCCAAAACCCCAAAACCCCTAAGAAATGAGATATTATTGAAACATGATTAGGACTGGCCCCCACTAACACTTTTCTCGTAGTTCATCACATATAAGTCCTGGGCTCTAATGCTCTCACCTTCACTATCCTGAGAGAAAGAGTTATTTAGAGGGATAACATCCATTATTTCAATTTTAGGGGCGTCAGCTAGCTTCTTTTTAGTGAATTTACCCTTGCTTGATTTCTTCTTCCGCCTCTCTATTTTAAAAGCTTGCTCAATTTTTGACTTGTGTTTTTTTTGGATGTTACTTTTGAGTATACTTTTAACTATATTCTGAGGGACCTCTTTTTCCTCCTCTGTCTTTGGAGCCTCATTGTTGTATCAATTCTGGCCACTTAGACTTGCCAGTCCATCTGAAGAGTGAGGAACTTGATCAGGCTGAAGCTTTTCTTGATATTTTCTCTCAAGCTCTATTATACAACTCTCAGGCTGGACAGAGGGAGAGTTCTTCTCAGCCTGTATACTTCTTTCATCCTTCTTCTGCTGCTTATCCTGCCTATTCTTCTTATTCGAGATGATGAAGTCTAAGTCTGAGTTAGAGTCATCTAAAGTGTCAAAGCTCTCACTTACTTATAGCGACCTTCTGGACTTTCTTAAGCATCTGACCCTGAGCCTTCCTGTTCTTTGGTCTCTTCTTCTTGAGCCTTTTCCTGTTCCTGGCGAATAATTTGAGTTTTCTTTTGAAAGGTGGAGGTACAATTGAGCCAGTGTATTTATCTCTCTTCTTGTTCAGGATAATGCCAAGGATGGTAGAGAGTTTCTTGATTTAACATCTTCAGAAGCAACAGACATCATGTAGGACCAATTGAAGAAGAATTTTATGTGACAGAAACATATGAAGATGAATATGAGGAAATCTAGCACATCATGTTGCTGATCACTTGCAAAAAGTAGCCCAGCACTAAATGTAACTCCTGTAGCAACTGATGAGTTTAGCTCCAGATTGTTATTCTGAGTGAATTTGAAGGGCTGGCAATAAATTTGGAGTCTGTAGAGACCAAAAATTATCAAGACTGCAAGACCTCCTTTGGCAGTCACTGAGCTTTCTGGTAAGAAAACATTAATTCAGAGTAAGAGGATCTTCCTAGTCATATTTAGTATCTCCTAATAATAGTATTTTATTTGAAATCCTTGATACATCACGATCAGATACCTCTTTGTCTTAGGCTCGTTAAGAGTTTTACGACGCTTGTATAATACTGTTAGAGCCAAACAGGGAGCGCTGATTACCCAGACTGCAATCATGGGGATTCCTAGGAGACATGCCCAAGTAAGGTGTTCTTCGCTATAGCAGCCAATGCTGAGATCAATTCTCATCCTGCTTTCTCCCTCTCCAACCTCAATTCATTGGAAGATTCCCAGAGCAGAAGTTGTAATAGTTGGATGCAGCAAATAAATGACTGAAACAGTTGAAATCACCATATTCCTTCTAAAATCTGTGAAATGTTTAGGAAACAAGAGATGACAAATAGAGAAGAATATCAAGCACGCCAGAAGAATCAACAATGGGGACAGAGCAGAAAGCCCAACCTTGAGGATAGCTATTGAGGGTGCAAATAACTTTAGCTGTGACTCAGATGCAAAGCAATCAAAAGAAATCACTGATTCAGTAGAGGAATTTGCCCTAGAAAGAGGAGAGAGTAACTCTAGCAAGATATCAGGAAACTTCATATTGTAAGCAAAAGTCAGAGATGTCACCTGTAAGTGATTAGTGAGAATTCTCATTAGAATGGATTTTTGACTCTCATCCTTTTTACGAATATTCATTGCAATAAGAGCACAGAGAAATATGAACACAGCTAGGAAAACTCCTAACACTTTCAGTGCATTTAGGAATGGCTCAGGACATTTTTCTCAGACAAATTCATCTACTTGTTCATACCTGGTTTGGTCGTTTGAAATTCATTGTGATCAAAGTAACCCATCATACCCAGTTGCTCAATTCACTGGAAATGTATTAGTTGCTGAAAATCCTCCTTTGCAGGCATCCTTGTTGGGACACTCTATTAGATCAGTGGAGTTTTTGTTCTTCCTCCAATATCCTGAATGGAGTACCATTTCATCTCCTCCTTCACAAGTTGTATGCTGGATTCATTTGGAACATTCGGTGGAGTTCCATATAAAAGAGTAAGATCCTGGAGATCAAATTTGACAAGTCGTTTTGTTGATAATTTGCTCACCTGGCTTACAGTACCTAAAATTTATAATTATTTTCTCTTGCTCGTAATCAGGCCCATAAACTTTTTGAGTCTCGTAAGGTCAAGACCTGGAGATTCAATATCAAATAAGACTTCTTTATCACCAGGAGAGGAAATAAATCTCAGATCTGTGAAGGTAGCTTCACCAGAAGTTGCTTTTACAGCTTTAAATCCAAGAACGTTGGTGCCTGAAGAATTTCCAGAAATAACAATTTGTGATGAGGAGTCAAGAGAGTAAATCTGATCATCGTGATCATAGAGAGTTAAAACTAAGGTATTTTGGTAGGCTATCCCACTCCCTATATCTGAGAGAATTAAAGGACCATCTTGGGCTCCCTTTTGCTTTATTTTCACAGCATAGCTTGATATGATGGAACCATAAACAGCTGAGTTGTTGATAAATGAATTATTGCGCAGTATTGGCCTGAACATATCATAGTGAATAGCACCTCCTTGCTTGACAGCTTTATTATTAGCGAAAGTATTGCTCATAATGCTACTTTTGCATACCAACGATAGAGAGCAGGAAATTCCTATGGCTCCATCACTCTCAGCAGTGTTCAAAGCAAATTCATTATTCAGTATAGTTCCATTGGAATCTTTCATTTGTATCGCTCCACCGAAATGGATAGTGTTAGAGCCTAAATCGTTGAAGTTTGAACCAGAAAGTTCGCTAAAAGAGCTTAAAGAGAATACGATTCCTCTTGTACAGGCATTAATAGTTATCCCTTTCATTGTTCCAATAGTGCATTCAGAAAAATAGATAGGGCTTTGATTAATTCCAGTAAAATTCACATTCTTCATGTTAGATATAGATGTTTTATGAGACATTTCCAGGTAGTCTGACCTTACAGAGCTATTTCTAAATTCCCAGTCAGATATTGAGATCCCTATGTTTTCATCCAACTGCACTATTGGATTGGGGTCCTCAAGGCTGACAGTCACATCATGGATGTTGATCCCATTGATTATCCCTTCTGAGGATGTGATTGATATGAATTGAGCAGTTGAGTTGTAATATTCCACACCGTTTATATCTAGAACACATTCATAGGCAAATCTGACGAGAGATGTGGTTGATGCAGGAGATGTTACCATATCATAAAACTTGACTCCTCTCATACTGACTCTCGAGGTAGAAGCCTTCAGCATATTATGTGCATTCGAACAATTGTAAAAATCTGTATTCTCTATTGTTAGAGCTGACTCTGAGAGATCAAGAATTTTAGCATCGTGGAAGAACCTTGTGGAATCTTTGATAGTCAAAGCACCTATTATGACTTGGATCATATATGAAGAAGAAGTTATAAAGTAGAGCTCTGGATGAGCAAGAAGATAAGCTTTGAATTTCGATGAGAGGAAACAGAGGCTAGATCATGCTATTGTAATTTCTGATTTCACTTTGGCTGGAGCTAATGCTTGATTGTCATAGATTGTAGAATTGCTGATGATTGAAGTACTTGGAGCATCGAAAATAAGAGCAAAAGGATTTGAGACTGCATAGTTTAAAGTGGCTGTTATGTTGTAAAGCTCAAATGATCCAAAGTTAACTGCATATACAACTCAAGCTACAACTGCAAAATTATTTGAAAAGGTAGAATCATATACTTTGACAACACTACTGCTCTCAATATTAAAAACTCCTCCAGTGAGTGCATATATCTCTCTGAATGTTGAGTTTCTTATAACTACTTCAGCTTCTCTTCTCCCTGCAAATAGAACTGCTCCTTCTTCAAGAGTGTACACGTTCTGAAATGTAGAATCCTCTATAACAACTCTTGCTCCTTCAAAAACCTCTATTGCCGATCCAATATTAGCATCTATCTGAGTAAAATTTCACCTGAGAAATTTAACCTTAGTATAAAGTCCTGCATTCAACACCTCAGTCTTCTTATTAGCTGCTTCAATATGCACACTCGCTCCTGACACTCCACTAAAACTCGAATCCACAATCTCAACCTGCTCCACAAGCTGGTGCTGTAACTTAACTAAATTCCCCTCGGTTGGAAAACTGATATTCTCAAACACCAAATTGTCAAACCTAAACTTCACCTTCTCACTCGACTCCATATTCCCAAACCTGACTAAATCCATCGAAACTGGCAAGGCTCAGTCTCTAAACACTAAATTCTTCATCATCACAAGCCTCTCTGCTTCAAGTGTCCCAGTCAAAGATCCTATTTCCAAGAATGGCACCTTGATGCCAGTCACAGCCAAATCCGAAATAGCCGAATCCTGTAGTCCAGTCAACTGAAGTTTCTGGATATTGATAATAAATTCAGGGTTAAGCACCTCAGAAGTTATACTACTAAATGAACAATTTGTGATGAACAGAGTGCTGATTTCTTGCAGACTGAGTAAGGAATTGGAAGCTCCCAGGCTGAGACTGGTGAAAGCGGAGTTTTGGAGGGAGAAAGTGGAGACTGAGCCTTCGAGGAAGATGCCGGGCTTTTGGAAGAGAGAGCAGGAGTGGAAGTTGGTGGAGGAGAGGGAGATTGTACCCTGAGGGTTCATTTTTATGCGGATGTACCTTTGGGATGAGGTGCCAGTACCGTTGACGTTTTGGTGAGTGAGGTTTGTGATAGAGACAGTGTCTGCGTCCAGGAGGTTTATGGTAGCGAAAGCAAAGTCGTCACAGTCTTGGTAGATGACGTTTTGTATTAGTATACTTTTAATTAATGTTACCATTAGTCCACCATTTGCAGTAGTGACGTTGGTAAAAGTTGTATTCACTACAGAAATTTCAGTCATTAGGTTTGAAAACATCTGGATACTGGGATAGGGCATCTTATATTGGTTAGTAAATTCATTAGAAATGTAGTTAAATATCAGCTTTCTGTGCACATTTTGAACCAAGTCAATGTAATATGTAGCAAATTTATCTTCTCCAGGGTTATCAGCCATGCTCATTTTAGTTCTTACAAATGTGAATGTGTTGTTTTTGGTATCTGTGGGAATGCAGTCTGAAGTAACTGTTGTCTCTATCACAGCTCTGTCTTCTGAAAGCGAGTCCCATACTTGGATGTTACTATCTTCAAAGTAAATATCTTCAGGACCAGAAGTGACAATAAAAGGAATCCTGAAGGGAGCAACCCTATCAACTGAATTAACTGCGGTAAGGTTTTTTGAAGTTATTTTTCCTTCTGTATATGCATCTGGATAGTTGCAGTTAATGTTCATCCAGAACCCTCCCATCATGGCATGAAAATCGACATAAATATTCAACAAGTCCATGCTCATTGGATCAGTTGTCCTAAGTAAGTACCCAGTCAGCTGGATGTCCATATTATGAAAAATTATGATTCTTTGTTGAAGATAGACAGGTCTCAAGAAATATGAACTTGTTTTGGCATCATTACTGATATCTCCTTGAATGTTGATATTACTCATTGTGAAATTTGATCTCCAGACAAAAATTCATGTATCTGTTGACTGAAGGATAGAAATTTCAGCAGAGCTAACTCCAGTCACATTAATCTTAGAAAGCAAGTTTAGGGTCCTACTATTAACTAAATTGAATGATGTCTTTGAGTTAAACATGTTAACTTCATTCTGTTTTACATAAAGAGTGGCTCTCCCTGGTGTGCCAGAGGAGCTATAACTTTCTATCTTCACAGAAGTAATGTTAGCAATATAGTTATACCCTTTTTCTATATCTATCACTGTGTTTTCTTTGATGTAAATTATCACCTCATTTTCAGAATGTGACCGAATGTTAAGCAGTTCTACAAAAACAAGACCAATACTCTTGTAAGGGTAATTCTTTATGCCTAGTTCAATAATTTCTGCACTTGAAGGGTCAACATAATATTGATTATCTCTTCAAAACGCAATGCTCCGGAATTGGACATCTTCAATTTTCGTTTGGTTTGACTCACAAGAAGTAACTCAAGTCATGCTTGAGAGGTTTAAGGCTTGACCGGCAGGTCAATCAAATCAAGAAGTTTGATAAGCACATTTATCAAGACAGCTACTCCCTCAACTCTGGCATAACTGCCTTGGGGTGTCAAAGTATTCACCTTCAGGACATGGCTCACACAGCTTGGTTGACGGATTTAGAATTTGCTCGTCTCATGTCAATCATTCTGTACCATTGCTACATGTTGCTCAAGAGGAATGTCATTGGGCTCAACTCCCTGAGTTGTCATAGCTACCATCTGGACAAGTGGCAGAGAGTCAGTATGTGATCAAGTTTATTAAGAAGATTAATTTATAGCCAATGGAGAAGACGTCCATTTAAATTTTATACCTCTTTTTATTATAATATGGGCCAACCATAAAGAGATATTTAGGGGTTTTGGGGTTTTGGGGTTTTGGGGTTTTGGGGTTTTGGGG